TTTTTTTATTAATATTAATTTGAATTCCGTGAAATGTACAGGTATAAAATCAAAATCGTTTGGTTGTGACATTCCAGCTATAATGACGGGCCAGGAGGTATTATTGGAGGAGTCGTTGGCAGTCTATTCGGACTCGGCACTCTCATTGCTTTGATTGTTATCTGCATTTGCTGTCGAAGAAGGCGGGCCAATATGGGACAGGTGATCGGCAACAGACCAGTCACATCTGTTACCATGGGTAGGTTGTTTGTGTATCATATTTAATTGTGGAAATCATAGCCATAACGACATCGATTATTGGACAAAACAACATTACGACAATGGTTAATTAAGCATTACGGCATTGATTTATGTTTATGGACACATCCTCGGGTCAATCGGGAACTGTCAGCAATTTCAGGCTCATTTACGGAAAGTGCCGATGATTCCCGATTGATGCTCCGACGGGTTTTTTTAATACACGGAAAAAACACGGAAAAGCCCGAAGATGTCCGATTATGATTCGTAAGCATTCTCCTAATTATCATCAAATGTTCGTCGAAATCAAGGCCATTTTCAGTAAATTGCGGTCAGAGTAAATATTTTTGGAGGTTGTAAATCATAAACAATGTGAAGATAATGATTAAATGCTTACATGCAACTGCTTCTGTTTAACATTTGTTTTGTTCTCTTTATATGATCAATTATTTCACTTTATTTAGAGATATACAATGGTTAAAACAAGCAGGAAAGTTTCTTAACCGTCTGAAAATTAAGTGAATTATGTGGGTTTTAATTATGTAATTCAAGCATAACTGTTTCCTTATAGTTTCCCAGCAGACGAACCAGCAGGCGACCCAGGGATATGCAACAGCGCAGCCTGGTTACCCAGCGGCTGGACAACCAGCCGCCTATCCAGTGGCAGGACAACCAGCCGCCTATCCAGCGGCAGGGCAACCAGCCGCCTATCCAGCGGCAGGAAAACCAGCCGCCTATCCGAACTCTCCCATGACACAAGCTGCATATCCTCCCGCCCCTGCAGGACAGTATCCACCTCCAACACAGCAGGCGTACCCCATGGGATCTCAGCCCTACCCCGCGCAACCACAGGCCACACCCTACAATGCCGGGAACATGTATGACAATAACACAGCTCCCATGGCCGGAGGAGGAGGCTTCATTAACGCAGGATTCCAGCCTCCTCCACCTTATGATCAAGTTGCTACCGAAAAAAAGTAAACCAACAAAACAGAGCAATCTTGCCAAAGTTTCTTTCTTTCTGATTTCATAATTATTGTTATTCTTTATGA